GCGGTTGACGACAGAAGAGACTGCGGGTGGTGATGGTGGTTGAGTTCGATCGGGATTGCACCCGTCGACACCATCTCGGCACGTTTCGAGCGACGTTGGTCACGTTGGATGCGCGCTTTGTTCTCGCTTATTATTGACTCTTGTGTTGGCGATAACTGAAACGCACACAACGCTTCACGTATCATTCGAATTACATTTTAATTCAATGAGTCCGAATGCGGCAAGTCAAATGCGTTCACTCTATGCAGCAGCACTTATACGAAACGTTGCCACGAGCACCCCACCGCAATAAAGACGAGCACAGCAAAATTGCTTTATCCCTAGAAAATCCGTACATATTTCATAGATTCAGCTACGCAGACAACCTTAACTTTAAAAACCTCCAGTAGAATGCTATGAAGTCGATCCAACTGATAAGGCGAAAAACAAAAACATTTGCTGAAATATCGGTGAAAACGTTGTTCATTCACCAGTGGGAGGCATCGTCATTTCAAAGGTTGGGAATATATGATTTAAAAAGAGGACTTTAACAACAACAGTAATAGCAATGATAACAATAATGCGATTATTATCAATAAACAAACTCACGAAAGAACACAATGAAATAAGATCGATAACACGCTCACTACACAATATGGCTGCGAGTTCATACAACGACGGTGGTGTATCACCATTTTGCTGAAAATCAACAACAGAAATTAAATAATTTAACTTCGAAATGAGTGAGATCAAAAAAGATTTATGAAAAAGTAGAAATCAGTTTAAAATTGCTAACTAGGAGGTCACTTAAGGAAATGGTGAATAAAATGATACGATTCGTTTTTGTGGATTGAACAATTATTCGATGATTTAACTATTACTTAGATAACTCAATCTTTTACAATTGACAGGCCATTGAAGCATCCAATACTTTTGTTCTAGAATCTATGAAACCTGCTTAAAAAAACACTGCGTCCCCATAATCACGACGTTTATATCCTAATTGTAAGAATACTAAGAAATGATAATTTCAAATTAAAAAACCGGACCTGATAAAAAGTAAATTTGAAGCCGAGTATACTACACAAATCATCAGTATTTGTTTTGAAGTCGTTGAGGAGTGAAATAAAGAATTGACGTCGATTTGTTGATGATTCGAAGCATTCCAGAATGATATCGAGCACTCGATTCGGATCGAGATTGAATTGGCCTTAAGTGAATGATTCAATATGTAATTTTGATTTATTCGTGAATAATCTTTCGANTCGAATTCAACGAATAAACGTTATATTTAAATTTACACAATCAAGCACCCATCATTTTTCCAAATGAAATGTTCACTTCTTTCTTTCAAATATCTTCACAAAACACAATTCACTGCAATCACAACTACTCGAAACTCCACCAGAAATCTTTTTCATACTTAAATATTCCAGCATAACGTTCAACGAACTCACCAATAAGTCGATGCAGTCTTATAAGAGTAGATGGCACGCACTCATTGTTGCTGTCCAATAATTCAGTTATCAATTTCGCATATCCTTCGCTCTCCTCGCGCAATAAATTGAACTTCAGTTGTTTGAAGCTGTGAATTGTTCAGTTCAAATTTCAACACTAACTGTCATCCTCACTCAACGTAAACACAATAAAATAAAAATAACTGCAAAAGAAATACGAGTGAAAAATTTTGATGACTGAAAATGGCGATAAGACTTGTCATTCGAAGGAATATTCGTTCAACGAAAACAAGAATGCAACCGCAACTCACTAGAGTTTTGTCTTCATTTTGACAATTCTCGAACGTACTGTAGTGTCATTTGCACCCAATGCGTCCAATTCAAATTTCAACACATCTTCTGGTACGATCTGAAATGTTGAATTGACCAGAGACCCAACCAAATAAAAATGACCAAACGCATTATTTGTTGTGCGAGATTACTTTTTGAATATGATATAGCGGATATTAAATATAAAATGGCTCCACGACAGAATATAATTTTAAACGCGACAAAAAAATCAGTTCATCGAAACATTCCGAAGGAAAGTTACTTCGTTACTGATCAGAGAGAGCAGCTCGTTGAATTTCTTCGTCGAGTCATCATTTTTCTTCTCAATAGCCATCTCCATATCGATTAACCACAGCACATCTTCCAATAAACTTGATGTGGATGGATTCGTCTTCTGGAATACACGAGTCGTTGAGTGAACAAATAAAATACCACAAAATTCAACAGAAATTAGTGCGGGATTACCGGCTCCGGGCCATGGAGTATGCCAGGATTTACCGGGTCCAGCCGAGACAGCAATTGACCAGGGATCGTCAAGCCACACCAAGATTTTTGTGAATCAGGAAAAGATGTCATTGCGTTCCATAAGTTAACGATTATCACTAGGGAGTAATAATTTGTGGCCATCAACATAACCGGCTATACCTTCATATTTTTTATGAGCGCGAATGCAGCATCCGGTGACATTTCTGAACGAACTACGCGACGGCATATTTGAAGTAATTCCGCCTGTGGTGTGTCCACTTCGGTTATCAGAGCTGATGACATTGATCACCTGAAAATGTCCGCGTTACTCAATCACAAAATGCTGATGGTGAGTGAATGTCTTGAATAAATACTCGCAGATGGACGAAAAACACCGTATGAACAGTTAAGGACGTCAGGCAGTTAACGCTGTCTTGAAGAACATAAATATAAGTAAGCTGTAAAAATATAAACGATTGGGCATTAGAATGAATTGTTGAAAGTTTCATTATAATGTAAGCTGCTTCATTTTTCGATGTAGTGAGACATTTATCTGGAAGATTAGTACACAATTCACCGGAAACTTCTGTGCAAAGCTTGAATTAAACAACTCAAATCACTTGAATTTCTGTAATCAACAATTCAGTAATTGATGGACAATTTGTTTCAAACGAAACTATGAAAGCTCATAACAGTTCACGACAGGCACAAACACATATTATTCTCGGATATTTAGAAGCCTGTTGACGATAACAACAAAAACAAATTGCTTTAATCAAAAATTAGATGCATTTTGCCGTTTCACTTGAAACAGTGCTGATTCATTTGAGTGCTGAAATACATCAGCTTATATGCCATGCAAATATTTAATTCAGTAACAGAATTAATTGGAGAAAGAAAAATTATCAAATTCATCGAAAACAATCAAGATCGTTTGTATTTTGATCTAATAAAATCAAAACTGCATTTCTTTCGTTCGCCTTAGCCTTCGGTGTGGGTCGAACTATGCAATGGGCGTGTATCAAAGCAGCAGTATTAAGACAGACAGAGAGAGAGAGAGAGCAACGCGTGTTAAAAGTTATCATACTTTTGGAAATTGAAGAGGTTGGTGCGATTGAAGCATCGTCAAGAATTCACATATTCCAAACCTCATTTTATGATAAATCGTATAAAATGCGGTAAATTTTTGAGCGCATGAAAAATTTATCATAAACCGTTCTCAGTGTGAAGTTCCTCGTGAACCTCTCTTCCAGAGATGATCACCTCGCTGAATTCAGTATATTCGTGAAATTCAGTGACACTTGCGCTGATACTTGCGCATATAAGGCGCGATTACGGTATCATACCGTAATCGCGCCTTATATGCGCTATTTTGCCACCAAGATTTCCATCATCTTGGATTCTGCGATGACGGATGGGAGGACGAATTTTGCAGTCGGGAACCCCGAAAATGTGGTCGCGTCGAGAAATGTCCGGGACAGGCAGGGGCCCGAGGAAGGGATCCTCGAAATTCCTGGATTCCCGCACCACACTAGTTGAAAAGCG